GGGGTGTACAGTGAAAACATTAGAGGCTACGACCGTATCTACGACAGCAGCGGAACTGACAACGAGTGCAGGAATATCCATAGTCTGATTGATAACAAAATCGCTAATTAGATCGGAAGAAACAAGGTCATTTACAGGAGTCATATGATTATATGAAAAGGGAACAGTATTCTGACCTGTTTGTGTGAGAGCGCCTGATGCACTACTGTTAACGACAGAATGTCCGTAACTCACGGTGTAAAAACCGAAAGGGGCGAGCAGGTCACAACCGGGAATCGAACCCGAGTTGTCCGCTTGGCGGTCACCAACGCTAACCACTACACTAAAAGGTCGCACGACCATTTAGCATTGTCAGTTAGCACTGTTACAACGGTTCGGGTGGCTGGTAGTCAGTCTGACGTGGATGTTTTCTCGTCTTTCACTTTCTTGTCCGCGAACTTCTTGCGGCGGCAGGACGAGTCCGGGTGTTTGCAACGCTGACCGGTCTGGCTGAAGCAATGCCCGCAGTAGTGTTCGAAGCGGCACGCTGACGTCGAGCATTCGCCTCTCTGAAACTTCCAGCAAGGTCTGGTGGTCGATGTGGGCTGAGTGGAGTTGGTCGCGGTGGTGTTGGACTTGAGCTTACTGGCGTCACCGTCGAAGTAGAACTCCTTTATGTCCTCCCAATCGGAATTCAATTGTGTGGGAACACGGAGTGCTCGGGCGATAGCGGCATGGTGGAACGCCCGAACAACGGGCCAGCGGTAGCTTCTCAGGCGGTGGCACGTATATTGGAGGAGGGCGGTGCGTCCCTTGGCCTCCCAGGATGGCAAGGCTGGGGAGAGTAGAAGTCCCATAGACCCGCTTAGGAATTCCTCGGCCGATAGGTCATCATACTTCTTGTTGTCGGCCGACTCGCAGCTATAAAGACAAACTGCTCGGGGGAGAGTGGGGAGGACTTCTTATCTGTCGATCTGGCTGGCTTAGCCCGCTCGTTGAATTCCAGGTCCGGGAATTAATTTTTGCTGGACTTTGGCGAGGAGATCAGCGTCCTGGCGTAGCGTGTCCATGGTAACATCCCCTGGACCTAGTTGCACGGTCGATTTCTCTTGTCCTGCCGCTGGCCACGCCGGCACCGACTGGAGGAGGGGCGGCCTTCGGGTCGTGTTGCACTGCTGTGCCGGAGACGGACGTGCCGAGCGCCGGGGGAGTCGGTTTGCCTGGACTAGCAGAGGATGGCGGTTGAGAAGGAGCCGTCTGGAGTTGCTGTAACTTCTGTTCCAGCGCCTCCACTTCTCGTCTGAGCTCTACGAAAGACTATAGGTACAACGCGACAAGCCTTCACCAGGCCATTTCTCACCGTTCCACACCTATTTCTCACCGTTCCACACCTATTTCTCACCGTTCCACACCCATTTCTCACCGTTCCACACCCATTTCTCACCGTTCCACACCCATTTCTCACCGCTCCACGACACGATTCCAAACGCTCCGCAACCATTTCTCACCGCTCCACACCCATTTCTCACCGTTCCACACCCATTTCTCACCGCTCCACGACACGATTCCAACCGCTCCGCAACCATTTCTCACCGCTCCACGACACGATTCCAAACGCTCCGCAAAAAGTTTCTCACCGCTCCACGACACGATTCCAACCGCTCCGCAACCATTTCTCACCGCGCCGAGGCAAGATTCCAACCGCTCCACACCCATTTCCCACCGCGCCAAGGCAAGATTCCAGCCGTTCCGAAGCAGGATTTCTCCGCGCTCCAGGGCAGAATTTCTCGTCGCTCCAGGGCAGAATTTCTCGTCGCTCCAGGGCAGGAAGCCTCCTACCCCAGACTTGTGTACAGTGGACGGTCCCCAATTCAGGCGTCATTTTCCGGCATGCTTTGTGACCTTTGACAGAGCGCGCGAGTTTTACTGCAGGAAGGACTGCAGATATCGCCCAAGTTTGGAAATTAGTGCTTTGTGCTCCGCAGCTGTGCAGTTTTCGAGGTGAATTTTTTCCCACACGTCTTTGTAGAGGTTATTGGCATTATGTCTACGTGTAGTTTGATATAGAACTGCTCCGCCCACCCGAGGAGTTTGGTGCCGTCCGAGGGCGTTAGCCCGAGGAGCAGTTCCGCTAAACGAGACTTTTGCCCATGCTTTAACTAACTTAGAACCCAGCCATCCTTCCGAAGTAAAATATATCTGATAATGTTACAGATAAAAATGCTTTGTTTCCCTCTTAAAGTGTGTAAATTTCGTTTTCCATCAAGTGTTTCTTGAGAGGTCCCTTTGCCATGACAGATGACCCGCGGGTCATCTGTCATTGCAAAGGGACCTCTCAAGAAACACAGATGGATGTTGGAATGTTTTTGTTCCCTTCCGTTAATCCCATCTTAATCCCATGGGCGACAGGGATTGGTCAGCTTAGATCACATGCTTTAAAGTAAGCAGGCATATGGCCTCATGTGTCAGTAAAAAGTGGGCCTCTCTGAGTTAGTCTGATTTATGAGGTTGGTTAGAACACCTCTACCCCTCGGGAAATCCTAAATCCGGAGATTATTTTTATTTCTATAGGAAGCACGCTCATCATGTAAACAACAACAAAATCATTCCAAAATTTAACCGGGAATTCGATATTTACGTCATGTATAACTGCAATTAGCCACAACCCACAAGACGCCCTCTTGCGGCCCACAGTGCCGGACCGCATTACTCGGAACAAAATAGCGTACACGTCCGACGATCGCTCGGATGACGAAACTGCACTACCTAATCCTGTCAGTAAGAAACAAGCTTTCATCTCAAAACCTTTTCAGATCAGGTGGGGTCGATGACAAGGTATTTATGATCGACCAAAACTTACGCTCTTCGGGCCCAATTTTTTTGCGGCCTCACTATTTGGGACCCTGCACGCGGAGTAATTGCGGAACGAGACCTTAGTCATATAAGTTACATGTTAAGTTCATCGTCGTTATTTCAACATATTTGCCACTGTCGGAGGGCAACAAAAATTCTTGCTTTTTTCAAAATCCAACAAAATTGAACGTGCGTGCTGATGTCAGCCCTAAAAATTACTTGCTGTGGCCTAACCGTTAACAGATGTACTCAGAGGTATTGTTAACACAGCTTGTGTGGCCTGACCTGTCAACGGAAACAGACGAGGGGCCGGCTTCCCGGATGTGGGGTCTATGTGGGACAGATCTCACATTTACCGCAGTGTTGTCAAGGAGTGAACACTATGAAGACAACTGCGTTACTTTTTGCAGTATTCTGCATCAACCTGTGCGTGGCGCAAGGTGATTCTGCCGCGGATGGAGGTAATGCGACCTCAGGTGGGACTGTTCACATCTGGCGCGACGGGCTGGAGCAATGCGCGCACACCGTGGTGGTGCCCAGAACAGACCCGGAGGCGTGTCCGGGAGGGAAGGGTGTAGTCGTCTTCTTACAGGTATGCCTTCAAGACATGATAACGGTTAACTCACATCGTCTTCTTTATTACAGGTTTGTCGTCAAGATATTAAAACGATTAAGTCTCATCGTTTTCTTTTTACAGGTTTGTCAGAGACTTACAATCGTTCTTTACAAAATGCATGGCTTGGACACTTTTAGAGGTGGCGTCAGTTTAGTATTTGTCCATTTAAATTTCATTTATATCTTTTCAATTGTGTTTTTTAATAAATTGTTCAAAATAAACTACAATACGTTTTAAATAGATAAATACTACAAGTCTTCACACTACTGTTTATAGTGTATTCTCCCCTGTATAATTGCACGCGGTCCAAAAAGTGGTTGGCCATTCTAATAACCGACCACTTTTGAGGTTACGGCTTGATAACCGATGGGAAATGGAGCCTTCTGATTGGTCGACGTGTCCTGGCTATATGATAATAAGCCATAATCATCACGTAAGTACACAAAAATATAATCACGACTTACGTCATGTAAAATTATTAATGTTAACGTTAGATATATGATAAAGGTATTATATTTTTTAACAATGCACGGCTTTTATACTGTTTACAGGACCTGAAAACTGCCGTGGATGACTTGACGACACGCCTCACAAGAACAGAGAACAGACTGGAGGCTATAGAGAAACAGTTCCAGAAAGACCAAGTCCAGGTCAGTAGTAAAGAAAGCGCCAAACGACTAAGATTCTAAAGGCGTCATTGACGGACGCGTGAGCCAAATCCCGGATCCACCTATTTGCGTTTCGATGATTAGCATAAATGTACCATTTCATTATATGCAACTTGTGTATGTACTTTTTGTGACGAATTTTGGTAACATGTTCATCTGTTACCTCTTCCGGCTGTTTTCCCCCCTAGGTCTACTCCAGCCTTACTAAGGTGCTCCTTCAGGAAAAGGAAAACTTCAAACAGATCCGCCGCAACACAGAAGGAATCTACTCCCTGGTGCAGGCGTCTGCGGAAAGGGAAGACACCAGGACTAGTACTGATGGGGAGGAGGAACAGACTGACGACGCGGATCCGGAAGGGTACGAGATAGAAGGTAACTTCTTTTGTTTAATAACTGACCACAATTATGTGTATATCCAACTCCCGTACGTTTGGGACCGCATTGTGGATACATTTCCCTGTAATCCCGCATATGTGCAGATATGTAAATATTGTACGGTTGGAAATACATCTATAGCAGCGACACCTGTGCTACGGTACAATGTGAACCAGTCAGAATTGCCCTGAGGAAGGTGACAGACGGTCACAGAAACTTCGGCTGAATTAAAGACTTGGTTGTGTAAAAAGAGTCTCTTTACTCAGTGACTTACCAACTTACCAAATGAATATCATAACTAATATAGCATTTGAAAATGAATTGATGAATACAAAGATAATGCAGAGGAAACTAACACAGTTTAACAAAGTACGTCACTAAATGCAAAGAACATTTTGCAGAATCGGAAAGATTGTTTCTCGATTTCTTCGCAGATTGTTCAACCCTTTTCCGCTCCGGCACCACAGTAAGCGGGATTTACAGCGTGAGTCCAGGTCCCAGACAGATGGAAGTCTACTGTGACATGGACACGTCAGGTCAGGTCGCGTATTTTAATGTTGATGTGGGGTCAACCCCTGCGTGGGGTCGTGTGACGTAGCGGCAGAGTGCTCGACTCGGAACCAAGAGGTCCCGGGTTCGAGTCCTGACATGCCACCGAACTTGTGCGCTTGGGAAAGGCACTTAACACGACTTTCCTCACTTCGCTCAGGTAAAAATGAGTATTGTCTTGTCCCCTGTGTTGGTGGCGGCATTAAAATAGGTTAAAAAACCTTGAGTGTGCCGTCACCACGTCTAGTGATTATATGTTGAAACAAAAAAATGTTGATGTGGCTTTATTTCCATTTCTTACGTTTACAAATGTAGGACTCTTATACGTCGGTGAAGGTTGGACGTCCTGGTAATAAGATGTGCCAAATAACAGTTACTCAAGCAACAAATAATATATGATTTTCCAAAATGTTTGGCGTAGGTTTCTTATTTTCAATCGATTGCAATAATACAGGACCAGAATCTGTTTGCCTAGTGTCCAGATCTATTTGGTTCCCGAGTCTGATTCGTCTTCTCCACAAATACAGGCTAATATTCTGTATGTATCTTCTTTTCTTGTGCCATATCGTACAGGGGGCGGTTGGACTGTGTTCCAGCGGCGACAGGACGGGTCGGTTCCCTTCAACCGGACCTGGGAGGAGTACAGACAGGGGTTCGGGAACAAGGACGGGGAATACTGGCTCGGGAACGACGTCCTTCACTTCCTGACGTCACAGCAGAGCTACAAATTAAGGATCGATCTCGAGAGTTGGCAAGAAGAAAAACGCTTTGCAGAGTACAACACCTTCAGGTATGGATACTTAGACTTAAGACTTCCGAGTGTTCCATACATTATACTACATCTGTGTCTGTGCTTGTGAGTGTTTCCGCGATTCCCAAGATTGCTTTTAGTCTCCTATAGAGGCCTCCAGGCGGGTGGGAGTTTTGATACTGCGTTTTGTAGAGTTTTAAACGCGTTCTTTTGCCGGCCACCCTACAACCAGCCGCCTAGAGAAGGTCCGTGGCGGGTACAAACCTTCTCTGGGCGCGGCTGGTTGTAGGATGGCCGGCAAAACAACGCGTTAAAAATTCTACAAAACGCAGTATCAAAACTCCTACCCGCCTGGAGGCCTGCACAGGAGGCTAAATTGCTAGCATGCTTTTTTCTACCTGGTCCTTTCAAACGTCGCCAAACCATCTCCACATGCTCCTTAGTCCTGTACATATTTTAAAATCGGGCCATTACTGACGACAAGTTTCATGATTGATCTCTGCAGGGTTGGAAACGCGGAGCAGAATTACAGACTAGAGGTGTCCGGTTACCAAGGCAACGCCGGGGACTCCATGACCATCAACAACGGGATGAGCTTCTCCACCATCGACAAGGACAACGACGTGTTGCGGGGGAGCTGCTCCCAGCACCGCGGGAAGGGAGGCTGGTGGTTCCGGGCCTGCGGCTCGGCGCTCCTGAACGGCCGGTACCTCGGCAACTGCGGCAGCTCCTGCCTGCACAGCCAGGGGGTGCTGTGGGGGCTCATGACGCAATCTCTGAAATCTGTGTCGATGAAAATCAGACCACAGTCGCAGTAAACCATACTTACTTCGTATCATGAAAGTTCATCTGTGTTGGTAGTTACATGTTTAAAGTTGAAACCAGATACCAGATATCTACCAGATACCTTTGACCCAGTGTTGACGTCACACTTCAAAGAAGCCACGTGACAAGCTTCACTGGGTCAGTCTACTGAGGAAGACCAGCTAGAGTCACTGGTCGAAAGCTCTAGGTGAGAGATTTCTTTGTGTTGGATGAAAAGTTTTTACTTAAATTAAAACATACATACTTCGTGTATTTGCAGTTTGAATGCTTTGCACTTTTTTTGTCTATCTGCAAACCTTGTTGTGGGGCATGGGACATGACAATAAGAATTAAGCCACAATTGCAAACTTAATTTCGCGTAACGCAATTTATTGTAGTAGAAACTCAATCAATATTGGTGTCTCAAGAAGACTTAGACAAAGATAATTCTGTACCATTCTACAAGATTTCTAGTCGTTAGAAAGGGCCGTATCAATGACAATTAAGCCATGAATCGTGAACCTAAATGGTATAACGCCATTTATTGAAGCAATAGATGAATCAATAATGATGTCTAAGCAAGACCGGTATTTGGTACGTTGACAAACAATTCTGTGCTATATATTCTATAAGATTTCCGATTAGATATTCGCGATTTTCCGTGACCATCTTCTAGCTCCTTGGCAGGCTTGAGTTAAAGATGTCGATGTACATGAACCACTCTCCGTCAACTTTATTCCAAATAACGATGTACCTGTGAAACATCAAGAAAAAAATTGATATTGATATTATCAACGTAACTACAATTTCAGAAAGTTTCCATATAACATCTCATTTATAGTTGTTCTATCCACTCAGTATGAAAGATTATAATAGGTCAGGTGCATATACGTGCAGCGAGCATAAAACATGTTACTTACTTGCCCTCGTCAGCCACACTGCCGTCCGCTTTCTTGCTGGTGCTGGTGCCCCGTTCGTAGATGACGTCACTACCCATCGGTCCGACTTCCTCAGTTTTTAACTCCACCGCCTTCACACCGCCGGCCCAGGCACCAACAAACGCCTTCTCTGCCCCTGTCGTTAGCAAAAGACGTCTTGTTAATTTGATGGCACTCCGGGCATACGTACATGTAAGCGATCATCAAATCACACACGCACGCAAAAGACACGTACATACACACACACACACACACACAGACACACACGACAAGGATAGAGAGACCTATTCCGTTCTTCTAATCTATACACACACACACACACACACACACATATATATATATATATATATATATATATTAGTATTCTCATTACACCAGGGTGCAGCTAGCTCCATAACTTGACATACATAATCCTCACCGTCTCGGCCGTACTCAGTGTCACTGCCAGGCGCCATGACCTTGCAGTCCTCCGTATACAGCTTAGTAGCCAGACCTTTCATGTCGTTAGCCTTGTAGAGGGCCATAAACTTTTGGTTCCTTGCTTCTATCTCTTTCTTCAGAGTCTTCAGATCCACATCTGGAGACGAGGTTTACACGTACAGATACAATAAGATCGGAGATGGTGAAGTACTAGTATTACGATTTCCGTTGACTGACGGAGACAGAGGCTAAGGTTAAAACTATATCAATTAACGTTAACGGATGAATGTTGTCTTTCATTTTCATGTGTGTGGTGGGGGGGAGTAAACTTCAGAAATGAATAAAGCACATAATGGATTGGTCACGGATAGAACACTATAGATGAAGTTTCGCTGTTCCAGTGCCTCTATCCTTTGGTCATTGGATGTCACCTCTGACTGGAGCTGGCCTACCTTCTCCTGCAGTTGCTGGATTTGTTGGTCTTTGGCCGCCATCTCAGTCTGCAACTTTTGACAGATCTCTAGATATTTAAGAACATTAACATTTTCGTTTATAACATAAAGTTTGTAGTGCCGAGTATGTTTGCAGCTGGTTGCACACAGCTGGGTCGTGGACTGGTTGTCGCTACTAAGCTAGTTCATCGTCATTAGTGTATGGTTAGTAAACTAGAAAGGTAACATTTGTTACCTCAGATGATTAGATTATTGATGACCTATACAAATGTATTTCAAATTAGACAACTGACATTGGCAATCACAGATTACTATATGATCATTCTCAGTGTTTATAATTATGAAGTTTTAAAAAAAAACTAGGAAAATATGCCATATCAAAGAACATGGACCAATGCAATTCACAAGCTGTTATTTAACAAGCTTTATGTTGATAATTTTCATTCAACACATTATTATGTATATTGCACCACTACAACATACCTGTGCATGTTTGGCCACAACCCTGATACCCTGGCTTGCAGGTACAGTTGAAGCCACCAGGAGTGTTGGTGCAAGAAGCATCAGAATGGCAGCTGTGGGCTCCGGAGGCACACTCATCAATATCTGAGGCAGAGGAATGTGATCCAGATCATTTAAAATGTTGGTGAAATATTTTTTTCTTAATTCCAACATTTCATGACTAGACATGGTGACGACACACTCAAGTTTTTTCAACTTATTTTATGCCACCACCAAGGCAGAGTAGGACAGGACAATAACTCATTTACACTTTGGTTTAGTGAGGGAAGTCATGTTAAGTGCCTTTCCCAAGGGCACAAGATCGGTGGCATGTCAGGAATTTGAATTCATGAAATTTTAAAGGAACAATAAGCAAAAAGAACTGACAATAATGCAGAGAACTCATTCATCTCGATCACTTTCGCTTGTTTGGGGAGTACGGTTTACATGACACTTCCCGTGACTAACAGTAATAGCAAAAAACAGAAAATAACTTGTGTAAAAAACAATGTGTAAAAAAACAACATCAATTTTCTGTGGAATCATGAAATCATTTTCTTTAATAGT